ACGTGCGACTGACTTCACCTCTGGGCAGGACCTTTATTTCCGCCCGCAGTGTCTTGTAGTTTTCGGGGTTTAAGTTTTACTCTTCTTTTGTTCATTTTATTCCTAAGCAATGTATTCCTTCGGACGCTCTTGTAAGTAGAATTGCTTTCTTTATTCCACTTTGTTCCCTGCCAGTGTGCTGAAATATGATGGATTTTCAGGTGTTGGGCTTGCATCCTGCAGCCTTGCTGGACTTACGAGTTTCTGCAGGTTTTTAGTAGATGCCTGGGGATTTTTGGATTCGAGATGGTGTCAAATGGAGGTTTGCTTCTTTTCTGATGTGAATGCTTTTTATTTAAATTTTTTTTTAAAACTTAGGGGCGCCTGGGTGGCGCAGTCGGTTAAGCCTCCGACTTCAGCCAGGTCACGATCTCGCGGTCCGTGAGTTCGAGCCCCGCGTCGGGCTCTGGGCTGATGGCTCAGAGCCTGGAGCCTGTTTCCGATTCTGTGTCTCCCTCTCTCTCTGCCCCTCCCCCGCTCATGCTCTGTCTCTCTCTGTCCCAAAAATAAATAAACGTTGAAAAAAAAAATTAAAAAAAAAAATAAAACTAATTGCCCTTCCCCTGGTTTCTGAGACATTGGTTTTTCTTTTCTGATTTACCTGTTCTTTTCCTTTGTGATTGTTGACACCATCTTAGTAATTTGGTAGTGCCGTCTATCAGGGAAAGACCCGCTCTTGGGACAGGTACCCACACCCCCTGCTCTGCTGCTGACTTAGTCCCGGGCCCCTCCCCTGTGGAACCTTGGTTTCCTCGCGGCAAAACGGAGACGATGATTCTTCTCCGCTGTCCTCTGAGATGGTTAGGAGTGCTGCACGAGGCTGGGAGTGAGGGTGCTTCTTGGCCAGAACATTCTATCAGAGCTGCATTGCTGGTGGGGGTAGTGATGCTGGTGTCGGACACCTGCAGACGGGGGCCCACATCCTCCCAGCCGCAGGACAGACGGGGACAGCTGCGGCCAGTTCCCGCGGTGTGTCACCCAGCCTTGCTGTGCCTCAGTTTCCCCATCTGTAAGGTAGTGATGGACTGCCCTGCTCACAGGGCTGTAGCCAAGCACCCACTAGGTTCCCGGTGTCAGCTGATCCAGGAGTCAGCACCCCACCCCTTGCACAAAGCATGAGGGCCCCCGGCTCACATTCTGCCCCACATTTCGGCCCGTGAGCCCCCCTCCCCCCAGTTCTCGGTGGGGCAGAACAAGGGGTGGACTAGTGCGGCGTGGCAGAGCACAGCCAAATGCTGTCACTCACAGTCACTGCCATGGTGAGGCCAGGGGCAGCCGCGGCTCCTACTGTTTTCCTGAGAGCACGAAGCGGGGCCGATGCTCAGGCTGCTGCCCCCTTAACAACCTCGCCCTGAGTGGGGCAAGGCCAGCACAGCTGGACAAGGGGTGGCTTGACCTCCCCCTGCCTTGGTTTCCCCTCTGGACAGGTTGGATGTGCCAGGCATGTGCGTGTGTGGCTGTCCCGAGTGACAGCTGCTGTCCCGGGCGGTCCTGGGTGTGCTCTCCTCCCACAGCTTATGTGGAACGGGGTGCCATGGTGGCACGCATGGAGCCCCCGTGGCTGCTTCCAGGTGGGCGTGGCCTTGGGGGGCACTCTAGCCCCCGGGGGGTGTCCTGGGTACAGATTTTAAAAGCAGAGCCCGCAGCGTTGGCTGGCGAGTTGGCTGCGGATCAAGAAGTGTCCACGTGTCAGGGCTGGAGCACGGAAGGAGCCGGCCTGGTGCTGCCGTCCGAGTGAACACGGGAAAGGCCACGTGTCACGCAGCCTGGCGAGTGCAGGAGCTTGGCTGGGTCCCAGCGTGCCAGGCTGACGGCAGAATGTCGTGGCTGGTGCCTTCCCTGGGCCTTGTGCTGAGCAGGGGAGCCAGACACAGGGCACGTGGCTGCGTGCATATGTCCGTGTGCACACACGTGTTCAGCAGGTAGCCTGGTGCCGTCTTGCTGGTTCCGAATCCCTGCCCTGCAACACAAGAGCTGTGTAGCCTTGGGAAGTGACTTAGCCACCCTGTGCCTCGGTTTCCTAACCTGTCAAGTGGGGAGAACGGTGGCTCCCCAGGAAGGCACTGTCCAGGTTGACGTGTCGGTGCACGTAAGGCGTGCGTTCAGCGTCCGGCACTCTGTAGGCTCCCTGTAAGTGCCAGCTGTTGTCATTGTGGCGGTCTTATGACGGTGCTGTGATTGCCACTCCGTTCATACCGTCTCTGTACATCCTTATGGAAGGACGGCTGGCTGGCATTTGTCACCAGGCTATGCCTTGCTTGGCCGCACGGGTCCACGGCCAGGCACATTGGTGGTTTCTGTACACGTGGGGGTGAACATCCTGGTGTAGAAATCCTGGCTGCAGATTCGTAATTCTTTCCTTTGGCTAAATTCTCGGATGATCCACGACACAAAGCTCTTCACACGTTTTCCCACCCGGAAAGGTTTGGATCCACGCAGAGCTGGCGTTCCCAGGCCTCTTGAACTCTCCCAGGCCTCTTACGATTGGCCAGCTCGAGGGGTGAGAGACGAGGTCCCTGAATCCGCACATCCTCAGCTACTGTGAGGAAACAGATTCTTGCCTCTCGGCTCCTTGTGTTTTTTCTGCGAAGCACGTGTTCCCACGTTAGCCATTGTTTTTTGTTTGGGGTCAGCTTTTGTGGATGGGTACGAAGATACCAACCAGCAAGGGGGTTGAACCTTCGTCCTGCGCTCTCCAGATCTCTTCCTGGTTGTTTCACCTGAGCTTGTTTGTGTCTTAGTTATTGGAGCAACGAAAGTTCTCCTTTCTTACTTTTCACGCACACTGCCCGTCTCTCCCTTCCCCTGTTTTTTCCTTGCTTCTGCCTTTGGAGCTACGCTTAGATACTAATTGTGTGTAGTTGACCCTTGACCAACACAGGAGTTAGGGGTCCTGACCCTCATGCAGTTGATATTTGGATATAACTTCTGACTCCCCGAAAACTTAACCACTAATGGCTACTGTTGGCCGGAAGCCTTACCGATCACATCAAGAGCTGGTTCACACCTGTCTCGCATGTTACATGGGTTATGTACCGTATGATTACAGTAAAGTAAACTAGAGAAAAGAAACGTCATTAAGAAAGTCGTAAGTAAGAGAAAATCCATTTACAGCCCTGTCCTGTAAAAAGTCCACACTTGAGTGTACCCGAGCAGTTCAAAACCGTGTTGTTCGAGAGTCGCCTGTGTTTGCTTTCCTTGTCTTCTGACACAGATTCGTTTTTTCACCGCTGTGGTCTTTGGCGCCTCCAAAGTTCGCTTAATGTTGGGATCTGCTCCGCGTCGGCCCCCAGGCCACCGGCCGAGTGGCTGCCACGCCAGATGGCCTGGGCCGTGGCACCCTACCCAGGGCGTCGTGTGGCTGTCGGAGCAGCAGCGCCCTTCCCCGCCGGGGCTCCTTCCCACCCTCTGCCGTCCAGGGTAGGGTCCTCATCTCTGCTCTCTTCTCCCCTAGGCACGTGCACACGGGTGCAGCCACCCCCGCGGGGCACCCTTCAAGTCCTTCATGGCGACGGCACTTCCGTGGGGACTGTCCTCGTGTTCCACTGCCCCTCAGGCCACCAGATGGTTGGGTCCGGCCTCCTCACCTGTGCTTGGAAGGGGAGCATTGCCGAGTGGTCTTCAGTGAGCCCCGTGTGCAAGTGTGAGGCCCGCTTCCCCTGAGTACCTGCAGGGGGTGGGGGGCACCTGGTCCTGTCATGTGGGGTGTGAGCATCCACGGAGGGGATGTGGTGGGTATAAGTCCCCGCTAGGCCTCTGCAGGGTCCCGACCCCGCTGCTGGCAGCTGGACAGCCCCCACTGGGCCCCATGTCTGCACATGGACTCCAGGCCCAGCAGCCTCAACCCTCGCTCTGCCACCGACTTGGCCTGTCAGCACCGAGAGCTTGTTTGAGCTGTTCTCTGTCATCTTTTAAGCGAGCAGCTCTGTCTGTTCATTCATTCATTCTTTTATGCACCCCTGCAGCAGACCTTAATAGGATATTGTGTGTGCTGTGGATTCTAGAACTGGGGACACCGAGGGCCAGGATGCTTGCAGCCCCGGGCTCCCCGTCAGGGGACGAGATGGCTTTCTAGCTTTCGAGTTGTATTTGTTGTACAGGGTGGTGAAGGGTTTTCCAAAGGGAGGTCACTGTATCGCGTTGACGTGTGTCGGGCATCAAAGAGGGCTTCGTAGCCAATATGGTTTGGAACATGCTGGATTAATAGGCTAGAGCACTTCTCAGAGCCTTTCAAATGCTCGTGTGCTGGATCAGTCTCTGAGAAGGAGGGCGCCCATCCGGATTAGGCTCCAAGATAACAGGGATTCACTGACAAGGAGCTTTCTCTCTGAGGGCCCAGAGCCCTCAGGATGGGCATCTCATACGGCACTCCCTGTGGAGGGGGGACCCAGGCCGCGCTGGCCCCTCGCTCTGGGGTGGGACTCAAGACAATGGCACCTGTGTTCTGGTGCTTGTCGTGGCCGGGCAGGAAAGGAAGGCCCTAAGAAGTGCCGCACACGATTCCCCTCACCCACCCCCATGGGCCAGAAGATGGATATACAGCTGCGGGGGCGGCCGGGAGAGCTCTTGGGTCTGGGTGGCCTGTGTTCAGCTGGGGCAGGGGATGAGGGTGGAGGCGGGGCGTGAGCAGTGTCACCGCAGGGCAGGGTGTGTAGTGTTGCTCAGACTAGGACCCTGGGCCTGTCTTCCCAGGATGCCCGTTAGAAGCCGGTAGAACACTGCTCGACCCATAGCTGAGGTCACACGGCTGTTAAGCAGCAAAGGCCCTTTGGCCTCAGGCACAGGCATTCTTCTTGCTTTTGAGCCTCCTGGAAAGTGAACTGAGAAGGCACGTGGGCCCCTGAAGGGTTTACCAGCTTGGAGCACGTGGAAGCAGGCCACTGCTGGCATGTGGCTGCCATGGAACCAGGGGGCTATCACTGAACTCCTTTCAGAGCTTTTCCGGGCGTGCTGCTGTGAACTCCTACACACCCTCCGAAACCCTGCCCAAGCACCCCCCCCCCCCTTTAGGGGACAGTGTTCCCTGACAGCCCCAGCCACCAGCACCTACCTCCCTGCCTCCCCCACGGAACGGGGTTGCCGAGGGCCTCGCGAGCCCTGTGCAGGAGGTGGCCCTGTCTCCCTCACAGCCGTGCCGCCGTACGAGACCTTCGGCTTCAAGGTGGCCGTGATCGCCTCCATCGTCAGCTGTGCCGTCATCCTACTCATGTCCGTGGCCTTCCTCACCTGCTGCCTCATGAGGTGCATGAAGAGGAGCGAGCAGCCGTCCGACAGGTACGCTGGCCCCAGCGGCCTCCAGCCCTCCCTGCCGCCCGAGCCTGAGGGCAGAGGGCGCTCCATGGGCACTTGCCATCCGTGCCCTGGGCCTCCGGCGGGTGTCCAGGGGCACTGGGGCTGCCCTGGCTCCTCAGGGATCCCGGCTACCGAGTGCTGCCCCACAGCAGCCTGCGACTCACAGAGCCTCGCGGCTCTGGAAGGTCTTTCCTAACCAGGCCGCACACATGGGTCTGGTCTGGGCCTCCTTCAGTCTGGGTCCGCTCGCGGCCTGGGCTCCATGGTGCTGGGTGAGCAGGGTGAGGAGCCAGAGTCCGGCTCATCAACCGCCTTGCAGAGGATTTGGCATCCTGAATGTCCTTCCCCCGTCTCTCCCCAGGGCAACCCAGCTGTGGCTCCAGCTGAGAGCCGGGGACTTGGATACGGTGCAGGCCTCCTACCTCGGCCTCAAGGGCCCGAACAATGGCGGCGGTGGTGGCAGGGACCCCGGGGTCCGCCCTGGCCAGGCGCACGACAACTACAGCTTCACCACGTGGGCACGGGCACGGCGAGGGGGGCGTTGGGCGTGAGGGTGGGGGGCCCAGCTCGGTCAGGACGCCCGTCATCCCACACGCTGCCCACCCTTACCTGAGCCTCAGCTCCCACCACCCAGTGCCTTTATCCTGGGAACTCAGACCTGCAGAGACAGGAGGTCCCCTCCCGGGGGACGCAGCAGGGCTCTGGGTCTTGTGCTTCTTGCACGGGCACACAGACTTTCTGAACCGTTACAGGGACTTTCTCTTATGTCCCTTCCTCTGACTCCCGGAGTCTGGTCAAGACTGCACGTGGGCTGCAGATACAACAGCTCCCGGTGTTTCTAGCTTTCAGCATGTGCCCTCTGACCCCAGCGCTGGGGCTCCGGGCGCCTTCAGTGGGGCCGGCCGTTTGTTTTTGGCAGCTTTGTCTCTTGCGGGTTCTGGGACGCCAGGCTTCTGCATGGCCACACTCAGGCTGCATCTCCCGGATGTGCCCCCTGGTGGCGCTTGCTGTGGGTCACAGACACAGGTCAGGCTGGCGCCCCGTGGTCACATGCTCTGGGGCCTCTCGGTTGAGGTGTCCACGTCACGTGATTAAGAGGGGACTCTGCAAGGGGCCATACTGCTCCCCCCACGGCCCTGACCTGTGGCCTGGGGGTTACACATGGTGATTCTAATTGTGCCGTGACTCTGCCCTTCCTGTTGTGAAGAATGAGGATGAGCTCTGGCTGTTTACTCACTGTCTTTTTGGTTTTGCTGTTTGCATGTCACTCTGAACTCTTTCCTGAACTTTATTTTGGGGAGATGTCAGGAGCACACAGAAGCAGACGGAACGTGTAATGGGCCCCCTGTCATGCTCACGGTCACTGTCCCCGACCTCATCTGGGCTCACGTTTCCACAGGCTCCAGTCCTTTCCGTCCACCTGTCCCCGTCCGGTGGCCTTGCTGCATGGCGGCTGCTGCGGCCTCAGGGTCCTCCGTCAAACGGCCAGGGTCTTAGCAGTGCCTGGGCCGGCTGGACAGGGCTCGGGGAGTGCCGGCCGTCACCGTTCATCCTGCTCTTGTCTTGAGGCGCAGCTGTGGTGCGGTGGTCTGGCCCCGTGTCTGTTTGCGACCTCCCGGGCCCAGCCATGGCTGGAGTGTGGAGTCTGGCCCACAGGGAGGCGCTGATTTCCTGTCTCCCTCCCTGGAGCTCCAGATGCACCTTAGACACACACTAGGCGCACGTCACGGTGGCGTGGCAGAAATGCTGCCTCGCCCCCTTTCCATCAGTGCACCACGTGGTGCGCGGTCCCCAGAGTGTCGCCCCAGATGCTCCAGCCACTGCACTCGGGTTTGGGTGAATGTCTGCACTTACTTAGAGTGGTTTTCCTTTCTCAAGATGACATTTGGGACCACCCAGGAATGGACTGTTGAGGTCAACAGTCTGGATGTTTTTATTTCCATGTTCTTTCCCCAGGAGCCCAGCACAAGTTATCTGAGCCGTTTTCACAACAGCTGCACCGTCACCGGGTGTCAGGACTTGTGTCCCGCTCACTCCCTTAGCAGGCACAGCTTCATGCTCCTCGGCGGCTCCTCGGTTAACGCTGAGGTGTTGTTCCCCACACCATCGCTGTCAGTTGTATTGTTGGCTTTAGTCCTTCGGGGTTACTCTGTGCGTCGCCTGCTGGTGACGGCTGTTCTGGGAGCTCTGTGTGTCCTGGGACAGAAGCGTAGCCACGGCCACAAGTGCCTGCCTTTTTGCTCCGGCTGCACCGTGGGGTCTCGGCTGATACATTCCCTTCGCGGACGGTCAGCCCCCCTCCTCCCCCCGGCAGGTCTCAGAGCTTTTCCATCGCCCCCTACCCGGTGGCACCTTCCCTTCCCATTACAGACTGTGACACACCATGCTGTGTCTTAGCTGGGGATGCACCAGTTCAGTGGGGGAGGAACGGCTGTCTCTCGGATGTGCCTTCCTAGGTAAGGCCCAGGGCCTCGAGCCCCCCATCTAGGTCAGTGGGGCTGTCTGGAGGAGGCCAGATGTGCCCCCGGCATTCCTGTTTTCTGTATGTTTCCCAGCAACTCCCAATAGGCCAGGTGCTGCTCTAACCTTAGCAGCGGGCACTGTTTCCATCCCATTTTAATAGAAACTTGTCCAGAATCGCACATAACTGCTAAGCGTGAAGCCGAGTTTGGACTCCGGCTATCTGGCTCCAAAGTCCACAGCCTCACCCACCAAGCAGTCTTTCCTCTCCACTAATTAACTGGTTCATTTACTTATTCATCAAACCAACATAACTTCTTAACTCCTACTACTTCCTAGAGCTTTTCTGAGAGTTAAGTGTGGGGGGAGCAGAGATCCAGGCAGGCTTCCTGGAGGAGGTGATGCCTGTGGTGAACAGATGGGGAGAGTCTGCATTTGGGGGAAGGAGAGAGACAGCATCTTAAGTGGGGGCAGGAAGCAGCAGGGCAGTGTGAGCAGGAGACGACCCGGTAGATGGGGGTGCAGCCTCTGGTCAGGCTGAAGAGTGTGATTGGTTTGTGGGTTGGAGGTGGGATGCACAGAGGAACCGGAGATACAGGCAGTGGGTGATCTGGCCCCAGGCCACCAGAGGACAGCCTGGAGGAGCAAAGCTGTCTCTGCCCCCAGCAACGGGGCCAGGGAGAGGCCTGGCCCCTGTGCTTTCTGCACACGCTGAATAAGCCCCCTTCCCCAGCACCGCCCCAGGAAGCCCCTTCCCAGCTTGGAAGGTGGGCATGCTGCTCCTTGGACCACATACCTCATAGAAGTGAGGGGTCTGAGGCCCAGGGAGGGGCCTCCTCAGGCTCAGGGCAGTTCTGACCCTGCCCCAAGCCCATTGAAGGCAGGGCCCAGGTGCCCGGCATGGGGGCAGTGTCGGGTTACACGGGGTCCCCGCTCTTCCCCCAAGCTTTGCCTCTTCTTCCTGCAGAGACCTGGGTGAGGGCACCAGAGAAATGGCTGGCATGGCCCGTGGCGTGGACAAGGACCCCTGGACCACCCGTCCTGCTGGCTCACCCCGTGCCCAGGTGATGGTGCACACGGCGGACCCGGGGCACGCCCTGCCTACCTCCTGGCCCGCTGCAGGAATGTCCAGGCAGCATGCGGCCTACGTCCCGGGGTGACTGAGGCAGAGGCCAGAGCCTGCCCTCCACACTGGGAAGACAAGGCCAACCCCACCATCCAGCCACCTGCATATCCACCTGTGCCCAGCTTAAGAGTGGTCAGTGAAATCACCTTCTGGGGTTAGGGATCCCTCAGGGTGCTGAGCTGGGGACGCCAGTGGGGTGTCCTGTCCCGGGGACGCCCAGCCAGAACAGTTTTTATAGATAGGCTCCCTTGGAACCAGCATGAAAGGTTCTGGAACCAGGTGCAACCCTGCCTAGCCTGCTCCTTTAAAGAAACTGGAGGACATTTTAAGCAAATCTCACTTATAGCAGAGCAGGAGGCCGGGCAGCCAACCTCTCGGCTCCTGCTGGCTGCCTCATCTTCCCCGAAGGCCAGGCCGGGGCCTGTGAGCAGGGGCCCAGCTGGGGTGCTGCCTCTGTTACCTGCACAGTAGCCACGAGGGGTGAGAGGTGGGAAATAAACCATTCCAACACTGGGAAAACAAAGATAAAGATCACTGTCTTGATTTTCAATCTCTGTTGTACTCAGGGTGTAAAACAACTCCCTTATTGTCACTGCTGCTCAGGGCCCCGGGCTTGCCCGGGCTCCGTCGGGCCGTGCCATCAGCAGCCTGCTCACAGAGACCTCAACGGCAGTGGCCGTCTCGAGTGGCCCGGGTCTCCTTGCACACTGGGGGCTGGTGTCCACGGTGAGAGTCCTGAGTGCCAGCCATGCCCTCCGGGGCCTGGGAAGTGCTGCCGGGTCACTGCTGCTGCATGCCAGCCTGCAAGGGGGCAGCTGGACTCCACTTCTGGATGGGAGGAGGACCAGGCACAGGGGGACACCTTCAAAGCCATCACAGTCCCCCAACCCCGAACTCGTCAAAGCAGTTTGACAAGAAGATGTCCTGTCTCTTACCACCCAGCCCCTCTTCCTGAGGGGACAGACAGACAGCATACCTGTATGTCCACACCCATCAGGTGTGGCTCTAAACGTTTGCACCTGCTGCCGTGCTCCTTCAGGGCTCACTGCTCAGCCACGCCTCTGAGTGGCTCCTGGGGGCTGCTAGGTCCCACCCTCC